CCCATTACGTGCCTGACGGAACTCATCGACTAATTGCACACATTCAGACTGGATATCAAGGGGCGATTAGCGTGAAGGACACAGATATCGGGCTGTCGTTAGTTATTCAACACGAAATCCAAACCGGAACGCACCCACCATGCCAGTGCGAGCCATAACGATACTCCCTTCCGAACGAAGGACAGCGTTGGAACGAATCAGAAAATTTGAAACTAACAGTTGGATTGAGTCAGCTACCAGACCATGATCATTCCCCGTAGTTCTAGTTCCAAAGAAAAATGAGTCGATTCACATATGCATCGATTAAAGAAAGTTGAATGACATCACGATCGAAGACGTGTATCCTTCCCCGGATTGATGATTTGTTGGATGCGATTGAGTGTGCTAATTATTTCAATAAGTTTGATATTCGCCATGGGTTCCATCATATCCTAGTTGAGTAGGAGAATCAGCCAAAAATGACGTTCGTACTGCTCAAAGGCACTTGGCAGTGGGTTCGTTGCCCTATGGGAATATGCAATGCACCGGTTACCTTTCAGAGAGCGATGGACGTCACATTCCAGAACTTCGTCAACAAGGCCAGACTGACCAAGGGAATAGTCAACTTTTGCGTCATTGTGTACATGGACGATATCCTGGTGTATTCAGAATTACTTCACGAACACACTTATCACATCGAATGGACGTTGGGGGCGTTGCGAGATGCTGGATTCAAGATCACACTTGAAAATTACGTAATCGTTTGAACGCGTTAAACGTGCGTTCGCGTTCAAATGCGGTGGGGCCGCGTTCAATCGCATTCAAACGCGCCACGTGCCACGTGGCGCGAAAAAATTGAACGCGGCCCCGGTTCAGGCGCGCGCACACCGGGAGCTACGGGGTTGTGGGAGGCGTTCTTCGAGATGTAACAAAAACAAAATAACCCTGTCTTGCCCCAACCGCCCCCGCCCTGCCCCTGCTGACCCGCCAGCAAGTTGGTCCGCCCCTACTCCCAGACCGCCCACCTGCCATCCAGCCACAACCTCTCCCCCTCGCCCCAACCCCGCCCGCAACCGCTCCGCCCCAGCACCCACACGTCTTGCCCGCCTACACCACAACCCCACCACCCCACCTCACGCCCTCCATCCCCCCCACCCCGTCGCC